CCCTGGTCCTGGCTGGGCTGCTGGGTCTGGGAGTGTTGTGAGTGGGTGGGTTGTCATGTCCTGTCATGGCCTCCGAGGTCCCAGACTGGGTCACTGTCTGCTAGCAACTCCAGAAGGGATTAGAAGGTTTGGGTGGAAAATCCTCATGCCATTCAGCCTGTGGGAATCAGGCTTGGAGTTGGTAGCCAAGAAGCCAACTGGAGGTGGGGACCCCTCTCCCCATGGTGGGGGACAGATGTCTCCCCCCTCACCTCTCCTGGTGTTGTCCCAGCAGCTCTACGAGATCCTGGCCACGATGCAGGATCCCCACTCCAGGTAGCAGGAGGTGGGGGTGGACTGGCTACTGAGCGAGAACGTCTTCACTGCCGCCTTCGTGCTGCACGAGGTAAGACCCTGGCGTCCCCGGGGACAACTGGCTTGGCACCCCCAGCACCCCCTTGCACCCACTGCCTCTCCTCACAGGGTCCCTACAAGCTCTGGCCAGAGGAGCCGGCTGCTGGCAGCCTCAGCAAGCACCAAGTCCTCTTCCAGTACTGGGCCAGCTGGGGGAAGTGGAGCAAGTACCAGCCGCTGGATCATGTTCACCAGTACTTTGGGGACAAGGTTGCTTTCTACTTCACCTGGCTGAGTGAGTCCTGCCAGTGGCCCTCTGCTCTCTGGGAAATGTCTCCCTTAGCCTCGTGGTGCGGGGGAAGGGGCGGAAGCTCCCTGCTGCCCCGGCGTGTGGATGCAGCTCTGCCCTGGGATGTTCTCCGTTTCAAAGGTGGTGAGTGGTGGCACCATAAGCTGTGCCCTATGTGCTCTAAAGGACAAGCCAAAGCCTAATGGGTACTTTGCAGCCCTGGGCCCGTGCTCAGGTTCTCCAGACCCTGCGCAGTTCTAGGCTGGTGCTATGCTGGGCTTGGGCAGGCGTTGTCCTTGGTGGCTGGATGGCCATGGTGGAGGCCTGCAGGACTCATGCCCCCCATCCCCGCTGCTTCCAGGTTTCTACATGGGATGGCTCTTGCCTGCCACAGTGGTGGGGACAGTGGTGTTCATCACGGGCATTTTTCTGACGTTCAATGACGTATCTTCGTAAGTGCCCTGACCTCCCTGCTCGCCCCTTCCCTAGGGCTGCACCCCCTTCATGCCCAGGGCGGTGGGGCGGAGGGCAGGGGGGTGCCTGCACCCTGATCTGCACTTGCTGGCTGCTTCCGGAGCTCAACCACAGCACTTGGTGCAAAACTGATGGTGAATGGTCCAACGGGAAGCAGTGGGGAAGTCTTGAGCCTTCACAGGCTCCTGGCTGGTCCTTCCTTGCCCGTAGGCAGGAGATATGCGCAAGCAAAGAACAATACTGGATGTGTCCCCTCTGCAAGACCTGTTCCTACTGGCAGCTCTCCAAAAATGTGCAGCATGTTCATGGTGAGTCCTGGAGGGCAGCTCAGGGCCAGGGTGGAGATGTCCATTCCAAGGTTAGCCCATGTCATCCCAGCCCAGCTCTCCTCCTTGGTCGCTGCTGCCCCGGTGCTTCCTCTCCCACCCATCTTCTCATCCTCCCTCCCCAGTGAAGGCTCCCAGGCAGCCCCTTCCACCTTCCTCCCCACCTGCCCCATGGCTTGTGGACACTGTAGACCTGGCACCCACCATAGCAGCCCCCACCACCCTGCCTGGTCTCCTGCTTGTCCCTCAGCCCCGCTCTGCCTGCAGGCAGGACAGCTCTTTGACCATGGTGGGACCATCTTCTTCAGCATCTTCATGTCCCTGTGGGCAGTGCTGTTCCTGGAGTTCTGGAAGCGGACCAACGCATCCCTGGCTCACCACTGGGACTGCTCCGAGTTTGAGGACATCAAGGTGAGGTCTGACCTTTTACAGCACCTCCCAAAAGTGCATGGAGTGAAGGCACCAGGCTCCCCTGACGCCTTTCCCATCTTTCCCAGGAGCAGTCACAGCCCCAGTTCACAGCCACGGCTCCCATGACGATAACGAACTCTATAACGGGGGCAGAGGAGCCATATTTCCCCAAACACAGCCACTTCCACCGGATTTTGGCTGGTTCAATGGTCATTATAATGATGGTAAGTTTGCGGGGGCTGGAGCAGCCTCTGTCCACCAGCTGTCTCGGCAGTGGGACATGCTGGGATGGGATCAGTTTGGGGTAAGAGCATGGGGATGAACACAGATAATCCCTGGCCCATGGTGGAACCCATGGCTCTCTGCCCAGGCTGTGCCCAGGCTCAGCTGCTCACCCCAGAGCTCCCCTGGGATGCATAGTCTCCTGGGTTAGCAGTGGAGTTTTCCTTCCCAACACAAGCTGCTTATACGCCATGTGCTGTTTGCAGATTCCTGTGGTGGTAATGTTCCTGGTCTCCATTATCCTCTGCTGGCCATCCTCCTCTCCAGCTCGAGCTACTTCTGGTTTGTGTCTTCTTCAGTAAGAGGTAGCCTGGACCTGCTTTGCTTGCTGGGCTTGCTCACCATCCTCCGTGCTCTGTGTGTTGCTTCTCCCTGTAGGCATCTCGCATTGCCAGCATCACCAGCTCCATGGTGAACCTCATCTTCATCCTCATCCTCTCCAAGATCTATATTTCCCTGGCTCATTTCCTCACCAAGTGAGGTAAGCTGGTGAGGGTCTTGCAAGCTGGACAGTGATGGGAGGGAGTGGTCAGTAAGGGCAAAACTCCAAACCCAGGGAAATCTGGCTAACACTCAGGAGGAGGATGGCTTTATGGAGGAAAGGAGAGTTGTGAAAAGATGACCTTCAGTGAAAAGTGTTTTGGCAGCAGGAAAAAAAAAAGAGTGTAGGGTTTAACTTCTGGGGGTTCTGATGAAAATATCCAAGCTGACTTCTGAGGTCTGGGGGAGAAAAGCCCATGATGTTTTTATTGTATTTAATGAGACAGCCTGTGTCTCAAGGACACAAGGGAGGAAGATTATTTTTCAGTGCAAAGCAGACGTGGGTCTCCAGACTCTGGACAAATGACAGTGCCTTCACGGGATCTGCAGCAGGTTTGGGGACCCCGGGCTGTGGGGGGTTGGTTAGAGGCAAGTGATGTGGGGTAACTTCCATGATGATGTGGAAGAGCATCCTGGAGCAGTGCAGGGCCACATCCCTGTGCTTCCCCCGGCAGAGATGTACCGCACCCAGACCAAGTACAAGGACACTTTCACCTTCAAAGTGTTCATCTTCCAGTTTGTCACCTTCTACTCCTCTCCCCTTTACATGGCCTTCTTTAAGGGCAAGTAAGTCCTTTGGGGGGAGCAGGGGTCTTCCCCATCCCCTGCAGCCCTCGCAGCCTCTGGGCTTTGCAGGGCTGGAGGACAGGGAAGTGCTGCTACCACCATGGACAAGGAGCACCATGGTGTGAGGGGGACAGTCCCACCAGAGAGCAGGAGGTCTCACAGGACCATGGGACACCTGGGAATGAGGGCAGTGCCCGCCTGCTGCAGGCTAACTGGTACAACTGGTCCCAGTCTGGGACTGGGGGACCATCTCCATCAGGGTCACCCACCCCCAGCCCTTTTGTCCCCCTTGGTGAGGGAGAAGAGGGCTCTGGGTGGACCAGGAAAAGCCCTTCCTTTCCCAGAGCCGCTCTAGATGCATCCCTGGGCTCAGCACCTTGGGAGCCTGGCTCATGGCTCTGCTGTGGCTCCCGCAGGTTCATCAGCTACCCCGGGAACTACCAGAGCTTTCTGGGGGTCCCCAACAAGGAGGTGAGTGCTGGAGACTTCAGATCCAGCACAGCAGATGTCTTCCCATGCTTGGGTCCTCCCATCCCCATAAACCGGAGCCAGTGGGCTGAGGGCACTTCTCTCCCGGCAGTGCAGCCCAGGCGGGTGCTTCATCAAGCTGGTGCAGGAATTGCTGGTCATCATGGTGGGGAAACAGATCATCAACAATGTGCAGGAGCTGGCCATCCCATGGGTACGCCACAGCTCGCCAGGGCCATGGCACGGCCCTGTGTTGAGCAGTGTTGGATGGCTGCAGTGGGGGACATGGCCCATCTCATCTCCCTAGGAAGCTGAAATGCTGGTGGCACAAGGTGGGTGAGGAAGGGGAGTTGGTCATGGTGAAGCAGGCACCCTGGGTGATGGACCACCAGCTCCAGCTGCTGGTGTTCGAGGGGCTGTTTGACGAGTACCTGGAGATGGGTAGGGACCAGACATGGGGTGGGGAGGCCTGGAGCAGCAGGAAGGAGAAAGCTGGTGGGGAGAGGCAGGA